GTATTGCATTGACAATTAGAGTATTGCATTGACAATTAGAGTATTGCATTGACAATTAGAGTATTGCAAATTACTGGTACAAAGCAAAACTGTTGTCTGCAAAAATGCTTTTGAGAAAGAAAATCATTTGAGGTTCTATGAAGGGCTGGCTTCAGTTTTGATAACTGTGACATGAGATAAATATTTCTTAACAGTGTTTAAAGCAACCTATGGAGGTCTAATGTCTTATACAAGAAAGAGGGTCAGAGGGTAATGTCAGAAACCAAAGCATTGTTGTTTGGTGATACCTCGACAGATGATTTTTTAAAGATAATGTGTACTTAAAATAGTTGAGCCTGGACAACAACATTGCTCATCCCCACCCTGTCTGTTGTGTGTCTATCTCTCAGCTGGACGTACACCTGGGCTCAGCAGCTGCCTTTGGTGTCACGGGCTTCCGGCAGATCTCTCAGAGATGGTGAGTGGGAGAAGACGAGATGAGATGAGATAAGATAAGATGAGATAAGAAGATTCTTGGTCGCTTTAAGGACAAGCGGGCGAACCCAGATTTCGGGAGTTTTCCAGAAATCTTGACCTACACCGAAAGTGGGCATTGCCCTACCTATAGGAAAAATTTGGTTTCATTGATGTGTATATTTGTTTGGTTTTAGAGAACACTCTCCTTGTCTTTTAAAGAAACTGAACAAGGGGCAAAAATGTTACCTTTGATTTTCTCAAAACATCATTTTTCGGGACAGCCCCCTTGTGTTTACAAGCGACCAGTTTATTGTCCCAGTGGGAAATGTCTTAGCTGTACAGGAAGGTAAAACACATGAAGGTATATATAGGATTTAAGTTATGCTTCTTGCCGTACCAATGCCTCAAAATCAACTCGTTGCCATGGAAATTTCGTCCCCTCAAAATTCCCTGTTGATGAAAAAAAGGTGAGGTGATAGAAAAGGCACCATTGTCAAGCCTCTACACAGTCAAAGTGACGTCTTCTGCTTATCTCTGAATGTTACGACATTTTGACACCTTGCTTCCTGTCAATGGTAATTAACTTCCTCTGCCAACATTCTTTTTGTTGTTGTGGTATTTTGGAGGAAGAAGTCGAGAGCACTGCAAGCATTTATTTTGTTTTACTTTAAAGGGAAATTAGAACAAAAAATTTAACAGTTTTTTCCACTCTACCTGTATGTTTACATTTCCCCCCAGCTATTTCCGGTTTGGAGGGAGAATCGAAGTGACCCAGCTGGGGTACAGACCAAGTGCAACATTCAGTAAGTAGGGGAGACTGGGGGAGACTTTTTGAACGCTTGGCTTCTCGGTAAACTGCAAGAGTGTATGTGTCAAAACGAATCAATGTCAGTGAGAAGCAGGCGCGGCTCCTAGACAGTTCTATGTCATGGCTCTGGGGCGGAAAGCTTGATTGTGATTGGTGCTTTGAATTGATGGAATTGTTTATAAAAGACACTCCCTCCCCCCCCCCCCCCCCCAACCAATTGTGTAGATTTATTTAGAGTACCAAACACATTCATCATGGTTGTGAGCTTTCTGGAAGGCCGTGTTCACAAACAGTTTTGTTTCCCATTGCCCTGATTTCTGTGTTCCAAGTCCTGTATTTGCTCTGTGTGGTGTTCCTACTCTTGCTCATTCTCACACCCGCGCATATGCTCGCACACATTCACACTCACACGCACACGCACACACACACACACACACACACACACACACACACACACACACCCTAACACGGTTAAGTTTCATCTTCCACACCTTCACTCCAGCATGTCTCTAGAGGTGAGAGCAGCGTGTCAACACAGGTTAGCCTGTGTAAACACAGACACTGCCAAATGGGACGGACAGTGCGTGTTTGTCAACATGCTGTCAGAACCAGAACAGAAACTGGCCACACAAGGAATTTCCCGTTGTAGCTAAATATAGCCATTTTGGTGGTGTTGGAACAGAAAGAACTTTTTGTTTAAAGCGTATCACGGTTGGCTTTAAACAACATTTTTTCTTTTTTTGTCAGTTTCAGTGCAGCTCTCAGTTGTGGTGTGTGTTTGGTGGGAAAATCCCAGTAGCTGGTCTGCTTTGCCTTTGTGGTTTTGTAGTTGTAGCCTAAAATTTGCAACCTCAATGCTTTTTTGTCAAATCTCCATATTTTTTTTTAACAGTAAAAATGTGATGTCTTCTTTAGCTCACTTTTTGTTATGAACTGTTTTCACTGTTCTTAAAAATGGAAATACGACAAGAAAACACTGAGGTCGCAAGTTGCTTTCAAAAAGGTCTAGATTAGGAGTGGTGCAGAAGTTATAAATTTGCCAAAGCCAGTGGAGCATATGATTGTTTTGTGGGTCTCTTAGAAGTGGGAGGTTGGTTTTGTTTTGTGGTTTTTGTAGATGTGGGGTGTTGGTTTTAAAAATTGAACTGTAGCCCACATGGAGGTTTTGTCCTTCTTTCCCATAAAAAAAATCTATCGTCTCTCTCTCCCCTCCTTTTTTGTGTTTGTTACTCTCTTGTAGCACCTCTAATCTTCAGCATTTATATGACTTTATGGTTTTGCAAGTGCCGTAAAACTCATACTAAAACAAAAACTATATGTCCACCTTGAGCAGGTTTGGAGGTGTACTTGTGGTGACTATGATGTGTTCCATTCTGTCTCTGTTTGTCAGTGCTGGCGTACCAGTTTGACCGCAACATCCAAGGTCGTCTGACGTACAATCTGAGCCGGCCGTCCTCCATCAACACCACGGTCGTCTACAGCAACGAACAGCACCATCTGTCCACCTCCGCACAGGTCTGTCTTGGGGTGGGGGGGGGGGGAGAAAGAGATAGAGAGACTGGCAATGTGTTTGAGAGAGAAAGCGCGGGGGAAGGCACTGAAAATGTGTATGAGGGACAGAATACTGACAATGCTGATGGGAGAGGGGTATACAGACATTGTGTTTGTGAGAGAGAGAGGAGATGTTGGCCAACAATGTGCATAAGAAAGATGGATAGATATGGTACTGACAGTGTGTATCTGAGTGAGAGAGATCTGAATGAAATAACTTTAAAGTTGGTTTTGTCAGAGAATATTGATGATTCCTGTGATGCTTTTTTGTTTTCTCTCTCTTTCTCTCAGTCTCTCAGTCTCTCTCTCTCTCTCTCTCTGTCTCTGTCTCTCTCTCTCTCTCACACACCACCCACTCGATGGGTTCTCTAACAACCTCTCTATGTCTCCCGCGTCCGCAGCTAGGTGTCTCTGTCTCTCTCTGTCTCTCTCTCACACACACACGCACTCACACACACACACACACACACACACACACCACACACACTAACAACATCTCTATGTCTCCTCAGCTCGGCGTGTGGTCCAGCCATCTGTCCTCTCTTCCTTTCACACACACACTCACACACACACACACCCACACACACACACACTAACAACATGTCTCTATGTCTCCACAGCTCGGCGTGCGGTCCAGCCATCTGTCCTTGACCTACGTCCGCACATTCCTGGAACACAATACCAAAGTCCGCGGGGCTCTCAAGTGAGTGCTAGCCTGGGTTGTTGACGGGTGCTCTGGTGTGGGTGGTTGGCGGGTGCTCTGCTGTGGTTTGCTCCTTCTTCCCTATCGAACATCTATCGTCCTGATTCTCTTCTCCTTCTTTTTTTGTATTTGTTACTGTCTTGTAACACCTCTAATCTTCTGCATTTATATGACATTATGTTGCGATTGCTGATAATCTCTTACTAAAAGTGAAGACGCAAATTCAATGACCTGGACCTTTATGTAATTGTCTCTGTCTTTCTTTCCCCTCTCCCCCCTGACCTGTTGACCCCTGTGTGACCCTCGGCGACCCCTGTGTGACCCGCTGCGACCCTTGTGTGACCCTCGGCGACCCCTGTATGACCCCCATGTGACCCCCGATGGCGAGCAGACTAAGCACGGTGGGCAGTGTGGTGGAGTGCTCGGTGGAGAAAAAGATCACAGACTTCAGCCACGTCGGGGGGACCCTGCTGGTGGGAGTGCCGCTGGGAGTGCACCTCAAGATCAAGTACGTAGACTCGCCTTCTACCTTCTTTTATATATATAATATATATTTGTCTTTGAATACTTTTATCTTCTTTTATGTTCTTTTCTTATATTTATATATATATGTGTGTGTGTGCTGCGACGTGGTGGAATCAGGCGCTCGTCAGTTTTTGGGTGTATGGGATTATTGGTACCATTTTAAAGCTTCTTCATTTGTCTTGCTTATAAGAAAAAAAATGAGCCGTCTGTCTTCAATAGCAGTCGAGATATTTGCAAGTGAAGGAGGTGGAGGTTGCCACAGGTAAAGCCTTAATAAAAACAAACTCTTTGGGTGGTTGGCGGGTGCTCTGGTGTGGGTTGCTCCTTCTTTCCTATAAAAAGTCTTTCGTCTCTATCTCTCCTTCTTTTTCGTGTTTGTTACTCTCTTGTAACACCTCTAATCTTCGGCACTCATAAGAAATTATCATGTTGCAAGTGTCTTAAAACTCTGACTAAAGCTAACTCTCACACAAAAACTCAACCCGTCATTTTTTCGTATGCTTTACCCCCCACCCCACCCCTACCCCTCCCAGACTTCTGCGCGGCCAGCAGAGTTTCTTCTTCCCGATCTACCTGTCAGAGGGCCTGAGCCCCAGCGCCATCGTGTACGGCGCGGTCGTCCCCTTGGTCTCCTACTTTGTGATACGCAAGCTCATCGTCAACCCCTTCCTCAAGCAGCAGAAGCAAAGGTCAGTCAGGACTGGTGGTGGTGGTGGTCAGTTGATGGTGGTGGCCCGGGGTGGATACACGGAGGAAGTTTTTATCTTTGGAGGGGAGAGAGGGAGGGGACCTAGGGGAGTACCGTTATTTCAGATATTTTTACTACTAAAAGAACAGTTATTGGTCGTAATGGTTTTTTTGTTTTTTCTCTTAACTCTGTATTGGTTGTGGCTGATAACTGGGAGGGGAAGAGGGTGGGGGTTTTTTGGTTTTTGTTTGTTTTGTTGGTTGGGGGGGGGGTATTTTTTCAAATACAACATTGTCAATTTTCAGATGTTTTCACAAAGTCCTGATGGCATACTTGTCTGATTCGAGCAAGCCTTGCTAATTTATGCTCGATTTATGGTATATATATATAGAGAGAGAGAGAGAGAGATTTTTTGTCAGTACACAATGTGGTGCTATTGTATTTGTAAAGGGCTCAGAGCCTGTGTTTTTTAAATCAGGGTGGATCTCTGTATAAACGTTATATATTATGATTCCTGTTATTATGATGTCTTGTCTGTCTGTGCGTCTTGGCAGGGAGATGGAGAAACAGAAGGAGGAATACGCAGAGAGGCTGGCACAGAGGAAGGAGGAGGCCAGCAAAGCTGTGAGTCTACCACTGGACACTCTTTGGAAAAAGTCTTTTTTTTAAATTTAACCTTCCCAACTGGTCATTGTACAAATGTGTCACGGCGCAGTGAAATCAGGCACTGGTCGATTTTTGGTCATATGGAGTTATTGGTATCATCTTAAAAGTTGTTCATTTGTCTTGCTTTAGGTGAAAAAAATTATCCATTTATTTGGAATGGAAGTCGAGATATTTCGGATTGAAAGAGGTGGAGACGCCTGGTTTCAGAAGTAAAATTAACGAGAATATGGCCGCCAAAGTTTGGTGACTTCCATAGCTTAAAGAGTCCTTAGAAACTGCAAATTTAAATTTTTTGTCCCCATAATCGTCTTTCCATAAAATCCACACTGTGACTGCAAGCCTACGTGTGTGTTCGTGTGAGTGTGTGTGTGTGTGAGTGTGTGTGTGTGTGAGTGTGTGCGTGTGTGTGTGTGTGTGTGCGTGTGTGTGCGTGTGTATGAGTGTGTAGTGAAACACCAAACCAGTGTGCCAGGATCTGGACAATAAAGATGAATCTTAAAGAAAATCTGAAAAAATGTACATCTGTGTCAAATAACAATTTATTATCTCTTCCCTTCTTCCCCCCCCCCCCCCCCCCCCCCCCCCCTCCAGGTGGAGCTGATGAAGGCAACGTACGAGCGCTGCGTCGAGATGGAAGAGAAGAAGTCGGGTCTGGTGGTCATGAAGGCTCTCTACGGGAAGCTGTTGTCTTCTGATGATGGGTGAGGGCCTTTTGGTTTTCTTGTTTTTCTTCTTTATCTTTGTCAGATATCGCAGGAACTGCTGATCCATCCAACTACCGAGGCCGGTCCCGACGAATTCAAGCTATCCATGATATACTGAATTTGCAATACTAAAGTCTTGTGTCAACATTAACTTTGTTACTTCCCTGTATTTGCCAGCCCACTCTCTAGTGCAGCCGTCAGTTTGATCGTAACTTTCAGCCAACTTGTCTGCGTTACTGCTTGAATCGTTTATTTTGAAATGTTAGATAGCGGCCCATCGGTACAGTAGAAAATATGTCACGACGCGGCGGAATCAGGCGTTCGTCATTTTTGGGACATATGGAGTTATTGGTATAACCTCAAAGCTTGCTTATTTGTCTTTCTTTTGGTATATTAAATACCCTTCTATCTTGAATATAAGTTGAGATATTTGCGACTGAAGGAGGTGAGTTTAGCTTGTTTGCTGAGGTAAAATTTGCGAGAAAACGGCCGCCAAAGTTTGGTAACTTTCATTGCTTGAGAGATCTTGGAAACTGAGAATTTACATATTTTTTGCAATTAATCAAGGTTTGTCAGTAAAATTCACAGGGAAATTTGGACATATCGAGTGTTGAGCCAAAGAACAAAACTGTGACAAAAATTGCCAAACTGGAGGAAAAATGCCTGTTTCTTTCTTTGATTTTATTATTTTGACGAGCACCTGATTTCATCACGCACGATGTCTCACAAATGATTGACCACGACAATTCTCTCCCCCCCGCACGATGCCTCACTAATGTTTTACTACAACTCCCCTCCTCCTCAGAGAGATCCTGGAGCACACATGTATCGACGTGACCATCCCCATCCAGGCACTGGTCAAGGACTCTAAGCTCATTCTGCCCGAGACACTTTCAAAGGTCAGTTGGCTCGCCGAGGTCGTGTGCCAGCACAATCTCTGGTGTAGTGGTTAAAGCAGGGAACGGCAGCTGAAGATAAAGTGTCAAGTTATTAAGAACTAGATGTGGCTGTTATACTGTTCTGGCCAGGGTGTACAGTACAAGGGAGAACAGCGTGGACTTTGATTATATGGGTTCTACATGCTACGTACACGCTGTGGTGCAAACCAACACCAGCAGGAAAAAATGGAACGTTAACTGTCAAGTTTTATAGATGTAGCTGTTATACTGTGTTATGGCTGTACTGTACCGGTACAAGGGAGAAACCGTGGCCTTGGAATAATATGCATCTTCAGAAACAGAAAATGATGTAACCTAGATATATACTAGCTATGTTTTTTTTCTCACTTATTTTCTTGTTAAAAATAGACTTGAATAGCCGGAAATGGTGTACTTAGGATGTCCTGAGACAAAAAAATATCAAACGTAAGCAGGACACTGTGCCCTTCAACCTCCTGTCAGGGCTCTGCCCTGGACCTGAAAATCCTTTAAAAATGACATCAGTTGCTGGAATCTCCGATTAGATGAAGTATCAGAATAGGTTCACTTGTTTTAATTAATTGACCAGTTTAGTGACGTTTTTGTCACTTTTAGATTTTGTACCTAAAAGCTCCCCCTCTCGTGCCCCGGAGATAAAGAGTCTGTCTGTGTGTCCCCAGAGCGGCCTTCCTGGCTTCTACGACCCGTTCATCGGTGAGGAAAAGAAGCTGTACATTCGCTACAAGTTCCGCAGCCGGCTACACCAAGTCTTCCTCTCCGACACGGAGCCTATACGACTTCCACAGCAGAGTGAGTTGTCCACATTGGGTGGTTGTTGTGTGAGGGTTATGGAGGGAGTTGTCCACATTGGGTGGTTGTTGTGTGAGGGTTATGGAGGGAGTTGTCCACATTGGGTGGTTGTTGTGTGAGGGTTATGGAGGGAGTTGTCCACATTGGGTGGTTGTTGTGTGAGGGTTATGGAGGGAGTTGTCCACATTGGGTGGTTGTTGTGTGAGGGTTATGGAGGGAGTTGTCCACATTGGGTGGTTGTTGTGTGAGGGTTATGGAGGGAGTTCTTTTGGTTTGAGTTGTTGGTTTTGGGTTGTGGAGAGAATTGTTCGGTTTTGGGTTATGTTGGTTTTTAGTTTATGGAGTGAGTTGTTCAGATTTTTGGTTATGGAGGGAGTTCTTTTGGTTTGATTTGCTGGTTTTGGGTTATGGAGCGAATTGTTCGGTTTTGGGTTATGGAGCGAATTGTTCGGTTTTGGGTTATGGAGCGAATTGTTCGGTTTTGGGTTATGGAGCGAATTGTTCGGTTTTGGGTTATGGAGCGAATTGTTCGGTTTTGGGTTATGGAGCGAATTGTTCGGTTTTGGGTTATGGAGCGAATTGTTCGGTTTTGGGTTATGGAGCGAATTGTTCGGTTTTGGGTTATGGAGCGAATTGTTCGGTTTTGGGTTATGGAGCGAATTGTTCGGTTTTGGGTTATGGCGGCTCGCCCACAACGCCAGTGGCCAATGCACAATTTATGACAAAACGTAATGGAGTCGCTGAGGTGGCCGTCTAAGACAGGTGTTATTGTTTAGTGTGATAGGGGTTGTGAGTTAAAATATGGTGGCCGCGGCCGCGTTGGACAGGTGCCCGTTTTACACAGTGAAAGTATGTAGAAAAAACGCAAGGGGGGGGGAATGGAAAGTGGCCGTTTGTACAGGTGGCCGTCATGGCAGGTTCGACTGTAATTGTATTAGTCAGATGTATTGTGGGATTGATGTTGTTGTTTTCTGTCTGTCAGCCACATAAAGTTTCCCGCGACTAAATCCGTGATGTTTGTCCATCTGTGCAGAACATCTGATGCAGGTGGAGGAACCGCATGTGAGAAGTTTGTGACGTCGGTGTGACAGCGGAGTGACATCGGTGTGACGGAGGTGTGACGTCGGTGTGACAGCGGAGTGACATCGGTGTGACGGAGGTGTGACGTTGGTGACCGCGGTGCAACATTGGTGTGACAGCAGTGTGACATCGGAGTGACAGAGGTGTGACAGCAGTGTGACGTCGGTGACCGCGGTGCAACATTGGTGTGACAGAGGTGTGACATCAGAGTGACAGAGGTGTGACATCGGAACTCGTCGTAGACCAAGAGGGGAGGGGAGGTGTCAGACTCGATCGCTCGCCGCCCTAACTGAGCCGGCACCGACTGGGCGAGGGGGAAGAACTTGAACCATTGTTGTTCCCAACTCTGATCTATGAATTAATAAGGACTAATATGTTAAAATAATGACAAATGAAGGCGTAGCAAGCTTGGCTCTAACCCCGGCTTGTCATTTCTAAGTCGCTAGTTTGTTTACGTTTGGTGTAAGGTTTTGTCTCATGAAGATTCTCGGGGATGAACAACGGAAAATTGTCTCGGGTTTCCGGAAAAAATAAAATTTTCTGGTGGGCTGGATAATATGATAAATTTTTCCAGCGGGCTGGATATGGGCCGCGGGCGTTGAGTCTGACACCTGTGACCTTGAACCTCATCGTCCCGCGTCATCTGTGGGGGTCGTCGCTGCGCCGGCTCAACTATCTGTCGTCTGCCATGTCTGCCCGGATCTATCGTTCCTGCCAATCTGTCGTCTATCCTGTCTACCGATCTGTCGTTCCTGCCTGCGGTTTATCGCTGGAGCTCACTGGCCAGGCCTGAGGGGAAAAATGTTGTTGTTGGTTCTGTTGGAATGTTGGTTGGTACGTGCTGGGAAAGGAGAGTTGTGAGAGAGGAGAGAGAGTTGTGTGAATATCGAATTGAAACAGCTGATTGGAAGTCTAAGTGAGATTACGGGGGGGGGGGGGGGGGTGATCATCGCAGTCTTTGTTATGTTAAAGAAATAATCTTACACATACATACACACACACATACTTACACACACACATACTTACACACGCACATACTTGCACATACACATACATATGGCGCTCATATGACTTAATGCAGTTGCGAGCGCCGTAAAACCTCTACTAAAACTAAACATACACATACACACACACAGTTGACCTTTAAGATGAGCTATATCAACAAGAAAAATGGCCTGTCTATAGCGCGTGTCCACGCTCTGCAGCAAGCTCTATGCCCTGTTCACCTACACGATATTGTCTCCCCAGCAGACCCGAGAACTAGAACACTCAGAAACTTTCTCTGCTTCCAGGGAAGCATATGCTGGTGCAAGCTGCTGATTGCACGTGCTCAAACGCTAACAAACTTACCAAGTCTTTGACTGTCTAAAGCTGAGGCTATCCCTTCCCACCTGTGTGGAGCCAGGAACGTTCGCGTGACGCGCCTCTGCCAAGGACACAACGTCTGGCTCCTGACAGGATTTGAACCCACACAGCCTTACAGTTGAGAGTCTGAAAGCTTACCAGGGTTCCTGCGGCTTCTTTGAATTCAAGGTGTCCTTGAAAACTCCTTGAATTTGCATTCACTGAAAAATCTAATTGAAATCTCCTTGAATTTGAGGAACCTCCTTGAAAATTCCTTGCATTTTGACGGATCAGACATGAACAAAATTTTGTTGGAAAATAGAAACTACAATTCCTTTGGGACAAGTGTAGGCCTATCGGAAAAAGGCTTTCGGCATGAATTTCTTGACCAAATCTCCTTGAATTTTTAAAAGTTCTCCTTGAAACCTCCTTGAATTTTTGTGGGGAGTTTATGACAGGAACCCTGGCTTACGCACTAGGCCACCGACACCACTACACTCAAAGTGTTCAAAACTATTTATATATCCGATATTATGTACTGTGGAAAGAAAGCGAATGCAGGAAAATTTAAAAAAGAAGGTATTTATCTTGGATTTCAATGTCCTTGACATCATGTGTTATTTGAAGCGGCCAGTTCTAAATAAATGGAAAATATTTCAGACACGGTGACAAACACACTTTTAGTGAATGTTCACACGTGTGAATACTTTTCCTGCATGTGGCAAATGTTGGCGCGGGGGATTGTCTCAACTGCTTTCATCAAGTAGTCATGTACGACACAAAGGCTCTTACCAACAGCTTAGATCAGTGTGGGGTGAGACGTCTGGAGATACAAGATGACCGCGGTGTGTTGTCGCATGTTGTCTTTGTGTGGGGAAAAAGGTCAGGTCTCCACTGTATATGTGAGGCATCGTGGTGAAATCAGGCGCTTGTCAATCATGAAATCCGAGAAATCGGCTTTTTTCAACCGGTTTGGAATTTTTTATTTTCTTTGCTCAGCACCTTTCATGTCCATATAAATACTCATTTCCATGTGTATTTTACCGAAAAACTTTGATTAACACATTACACCCTAACTCGCCCGGGATCGCCCGGGAATTCCCTTACGCGCTCCACCCTGACTCGCCCGGAACCGCCCGCGCCGACCCAGCGTCTTTAGAAACGAAAGTCTCGCCTTGACGAGACTCTGGGGCCGGGATTTTGATTTGCATAGTATAGCAAAAAGTTTCTTCTTTCGTTTGATACCGAAACGAAATTTTTCCGGCTAGTAGTTTTAGTATTAGAGCTGATTGAAGTGCGATCGCGTTACCGACACTTCGAAAGTGCCTCGACTTGTTGAAAAGCGACACAATTGAGTTCGAAAACGGAAATAACGATGGATTTGAGCAAAAACGAGCATGTGACAAATCAGATGGCTCAGATTTTGATGAAAACGTTGTAGGAAGAGTTGGGGCGATTCCGATTGATCAGACGGAGAAATGATAGAATTTAGATCTAGGGCCCGACCGCGAGGCTGAGAGTGAGAGTGACGGGTCGGACACCCCGATTGAACTAAAGTGAGAACATTTCCAACAGTTTGTGCATACATAAAGTTATATTTTTCTGAAACTACATTCAGTTTTCTTTTTAACTTTTATTTTTTCAGAATTTTTGGAATTTGTTTAGTATTTTTAAAATGTGTTTTTTAAAGGGTAGTATTCACAGGAGGTGGGTTCTTTCCCCTTGCTTAGGATCTAACAATGGACTTCCCGTCCAGGCCCTTAGGGTGTAATGTGTTAATGGCAAAAAAAAAAAGTATGTAAATTTTCAGTTTTCAAGGACTCACTCTCTATAGAAGTTACCAAATTTTGGCGGCCATTTTCTCACTAAGTTTACCTCTAAAGTCTAAAGTCATGCTACCCCCACCTCCTTGAATCCAAAATATTTCGACTTCTATTAGAGATAGATGGGTGTTCTTTTCATAGAAAGCAAGGCGAATAAACAAGCTTTCAGCTGATATCAATAACTTCACATGCCCAAACATTGGCCAGCGCCTGATTCCACCACGTCCTGATACAAATCTTGTCATGTAAAGAATCCATTGATTGATCTCAAAAAAGAAAGCAAAGGGAAACTGTAGATAGGTCGATGTACCACCCCACGTGCTGTGTTTCTTCTGCCATACTCCGTGGGGGGGGGGGTGATGCCAAAATGTCTGTCGATGTCGCCCCTTGCACTTGCACTGAGATGCTCACTTCCACATTTATGTAACCGTGTGCCATTAGAGACGGGGAACTGGGACAACAGAGCTCACAAGTTGTTTGTCCTATTTCATGTCCTGCTGCGTCCCCGTGCGGCGTTCGGCTGTTTCATGGTTGACCCTTCCACTGCTTGGTACAGCCCCGGGGTGCGGGGTTATCATTCTGTCCTGTCATCAAACATCTGTCGTCCTTATCTCTCCTTCTGTCCTGTCATCAAACATCTGTCGTCGTTATCTCTCCTTCTGTTCTGTCATCAAACATCTGTCGTCGTTATCTCTCCTTCTGTTCTGTCATCAAACATCTGTCGTCGTTATCTCTCCTTCTGTCCTGTCATCAAACATCTGTCGTCGTTATCTCTCCTTCTGTCCTGTCATCAAACGTCTGTCGTCGTTATCTCCTTTTAATCTTTCCTATCAAACATCTGTCGTCCATGTCCCTCATCCTTTTCTTTGTTCATTACTCTCAAATAAGGCCTCCCACCTTGAGCACCTATGTGACCTATATGTGGTGCAAGTGTCATGAAACTCTCACAAATGGTCGGAGGGCGCCACTGGTGGGTCGTGCTGTTTTTCTTTCCTGCTGTTGCTTCTGTCTGTCTGTCTGTCTGTCTGTCTGTCTGTCTGTCTGTCTGTCTGTCTTGCTTCTTCCCTGCAATAATATGACAGTTATTGTGTTGTGTCGATATATATGCTTTTCTTTACTCACACTCAACTCTTACTAAATCTAAAATTCTAGTGGTCTTTTCAGTCATCGTTTTAGTAGGTGGATAATAAATATTCATACCTGTCTGTCTGCGTATATTTTTCATTTCTGAGATGACTCAGAGCTACTGCTGATGTTACACTGTGTTTCTTGACAACTTTGAAGTGTTTCTTCTTTGTTTTATTCCAGAATTTTATAAAAGCGCAGATGTACACTAGAGTTTTATTTTTGTTCCCATCCAGTTTCATTTCCATAATGCTAGATCTAGTACAACTCCTGCCAATGTTGAATCCATTCACAGGCTGTCCAAAGGGAGGATGAGATTATTGTTGAGTTTCTGACGCTAATGTTGATCACTCTGTATAATCTACTAATCAAATTTAATTTATTTACGGTAACACAGGAAAGAAATGGACCAACTTTGTACAGACGTTGCAGTCTGCTCATCTTTCATTGTCAATCCAGATCATAGATGTAACGGCTTATTGTGACTTTTGCTGCTGCTGATGTGTGTGTGTGGTTGGGAGCGGTTCCTCATGGGGGTCTCACTCACTCCACCATTTGTTTGTTAGGTACTATTTGTTTGTACTATTTGTACTACTGTTGTCTTGGGTGGTTGGTGGGTGCTCTGGTGTGGTTTGCTTCTTCTTTCCTATCAAACATCTATCGTCCTTCTCTCTCTCCTCCTTCTTTTTTGTGTTTGTTACTCTCTTGTAACACCTCTAATCTTCGGCACTTATATGACCTTATTGTGTTGCGAGTGCCGTAAAACTCATACTAAAACTAATAACGGGTGTCTTGTTGTGCCTGCTGTACAAGGAATGCCCGCCAACTTGAATGGGCAGAGGTTTGTTGTTGGGTTTTTTTTGTGGGTTTGTTTGGTGTGTTTCTGCCATGCAGATTGTGGTTGTGAAGTTCACCGTAGGTTTTAGAGATTAGAGAGTAACGTCGCTGTTTCCTGTTGGAGACATATCGTCATCGCTCACTCACTCACTCACTCACTCAGTCTGGAAAGATGACTGACTGCTGGTTGAATTAAGTTGTGTGTGGCTTTGTCTATGTGTGTGTGGTCTGTGAGGTTGACTTCCCAATTGCCCCGTCTTAGAAGATGTCATGTGTGACTGAAATATTGCAGTCTGTGGGCTCTGATGGAGATTTGTGTGTGGAAATAGCTGTTGGTGTGTGGGACTGTTTGTATACTCTGTGTGTGTGTTTATGTGTGCATACTGTGTGTGTGTGTGTGACTATTTGTATACTCTGTGTGTGTGTTTATGTGTGCATACTGGGTGTGTGTGTGACAGTGTGTCAGTGTCAGTGCTTGCTGGTTTGCCTATAAATGTGTATGCATGTGTTGTGCGTGTGAATGATTGATTGACAGTGCTTGTTTGTGTGTGTGTGTGTGTGTGTGAATGTTTGTGTGCATCAGTCAACTAGGACGTACGTGTGTCATACTTTGGATGTACATTGTCATGTATTTGGGAAGTTGGAAGTCGTTCGTCGTGCGATATTGTTGTTTGATTTCGAGGGGTTTTCTTGTTACTTAGAATACTTAGATTAATTTATTTTATAGAAGTACTAGAGAATGCGCCCCAGTCTTTCTGTCTTTTAGCTGTGTTTGTTTTACTGGGCTGGAGGTGGAAGGTCATGTGTGCACTACATCGAGAAATGGGGATGTATTGTGAGAATGTGGCAAAGATTGTTGAAATTTGTGTTGAGATTTTTGCCATCTTTTTTTCTCGTTTTGATAAACAGTCTACCTAATGTC